CACCGTCAACCGACCGATTGTCAGAAGAGCAAACGCCGATTAGCTCCAAACACAGATCACGACAAAACCTTCAGCCAACACCTCATGATGAACACGACATGAATCAAGTCACAGAATCAGCAACCACTGGTGCACGCAGTGAGTGGAAACGTCATCGAAGCCGTGACATGCATTCGGCAAAGAGAGCCTCGATGTCACGAAGCCGCAGGGATTCTCGGCTAGCACCCGCTCCAGTCATCAGCCAGGACCAGGCTCAACCCGTTGGAGAAACGGTGGCTGGGGACCCACATAAGCCCGCAGATACCACGGCTTCGCGAAAAGTCAGACAGCATCACAACAATCCATCATCAACGACAGTGAGAGACGATCGACAGCCGGCGGCCAATCGAGTCAAGAGACATGTGCAGCCTGAAGTCAAGAGTCCAGTGAGTGCTCAGGGCGAACCTGCATATCCAAATAACGTGTCAATTGAGAAAGAGAGGCCACGGCGTTCCTCATCCCGCCCCGCGAAATTGAAGTCTAAAAGCGGAGAAGAAGGCTCGAGGTCCCAGAAAGCGCGGCGCAAACCCACTAAACATCGATCAAATACTATGAATTATCACCAAGCATATATAGAGTCTGAAGGGAGCTCGCCCAGAAGACGATCATTGTCTACATGGGAATTGTCAGATACCGAATCTGAACCAGAGGAAGAACATGCGACTTTTCATGTTCCTCCTCCTCCTCCGCCACCTCCTGAGAATACTGCACATGAGGTCAAATCCTCGCGTGCACCGTCTGAAGTTCCAAGCACTGCGCGCAGATTGTCGGTTAAGAAACCGCCGACGAAGTATAACGTACATCTTGAACATGAGATACCCACGAACGGTGAACAGCCGCGACCCTATACGAGAACACGTATACTGCCACGGGAGACACAGCCCATCAAAAGACCGAAGACCCCAATTGAGGATGGTAAGTCGTTATATCACCGCAAAATCCCATGTGCTGCGACTCGGGTTGCGATCATATCACTTTTCACCCTCAATCACCGCTGACAAACACCGCACAGACTATGAATCAGGTCAACTCTCTCAAAATGATTCGGAAGATGTCTCTTCACCCGAAGAGCCCGAAGTTGCCAAACCTTTAATGAATATCACTCCTCGCACAAAGAATGCCAAAGATCGGAGCAATCGACCAGAGCCTAAGGGGAAACATCATAGGAGATCAATGTCTGTTAAAATGCCACCACCTTTGGTCAATGATGAGGTGGAGCAAAGCTCAGAAGAAGGTAAGGTTCTTGTTGTATTGGTATGGAATGCGATCTGATCTAACTTTCAAGCAAAATAGACCAACATTATAGCCGGTACAGAGAGGCAAGAAGGTCTGAAAAATCACACCTCAACCGCAGTATGTCAAGACGCCGCGAGAGAAACCGTGAGCCTGGTTAGTATATCTGCAACGAACATAATCTTATCACTACTGACTTTTTAAAACTAGCTCCAGAGTCATCGCCAATTGAACAGCCAGTGTATGACCGTCCATTGGATCGCCTCCCAAGAGAGAGAAGGCCACACAGATCCCATTCACAGGTGCAAATGCAAGAGGTAGATACTTCAATACACTTAAGGGGTGGCACCACATCATATAATGAAAAAACAGCTAACATAGCTTTACCAGCCTGAAATACTCAGACACGAGCCCTTTGAGGCTGGCTTCAACGAACCCCGTCCCCTTCATCGCTCATCAACTCTTCCTGCAACCAGGATGCCAGGTATATTAGGCTCCCTGTGGAACAACCTCCGACGACAAAAGCCTGAAGAAGGTGAACATGCCGCCAGTGACGATAACGCGCGCCAACAATATGAGCAAAAGAGGGATATCCCACGTCGCACCCAAAGCCACCGACACAGGCGCCCAATCTCCGAGATCCCCAGTCCCACGAACAAGACTGATCCTGAACAAGAGCGCTATTTTGACCGAGAGCGAGATAGAGACCGCGACCTACTGGAGGCCAAAGCCGAACGGAGAGCTAAACGGCGTGAATCGCGCGAGCGGCACAGACTCCATCTAGAAGCCGAAGAAAGAGCAGCGGACTTGAAACGCATTGAAGCAGAAAGAACAAGGCAGCAGGAAGAGGACAATGCTCGGAGATCAGCTGAGAAGCGTGCTCGGAAGAGAGCATTGCAGGCTAAACGCCTTGAGGAAGAAGAGTTGAGTCGCCAGAGAGTTGGAGAGCGAGAGGCACGGCGTGCGGAGAGGAGTGCCCGTAAGGAACGGCGCAGAACGCAGGAGAGGGAAGAATCGACGGTTCGCAGCCGTAGTCGTCGGAGAAGGCATTCAATGGCGATTCCGGGTGATGATACAACTGCTGCCGACCAAATCGCGGACAGACAATTCCCTGCTGCTGAGCGGTCGTCGCAGCACAAAAATCATCATTCAGAAGATGATGCTGGTCATAGAAAGCGTCAATCGCACAGCCGTCATCGCTCCCATGATGTCAGTGATTGGCACAAGAGGACTCCACGCTCAGGATATAGGAAGAAGATTGCAGACACTGCTGCCTCTGCTAGTCGCCCAACATATCCCTCCGCGGGTCACCGTGGTAATGAAAAGACTGCTTCGTGGGTGAAGTCTCAAAGCACTGATCCACCTGAACCTCCACCTGTGGTACCGACGGTCGTCGACCTTCCCGGGGGGGAAGGACACACGATCTCTTCTGATGAAGAGGTCAGGAAAGAGTTGAGAAGGCAGGCAAGGAGGAGGAAGAAGTATGGTGATATGACAGATGAGGATATCGAGCGATATCGCACGAAGCGGCGCATAGAGCGTGAGCAAGCAAGGCATCCAGAGGGACCTGGGCATATGTCTGACGGTATTCAGGGAAAAATGGGAAAATGGCTCAAGAAGCTTTCGAAGTGAGATACCGTTTGTCTTCTCGTTTCGTTGGACCCGGGCTTTTCGAAGGGATGTGTGTGAAGCCGACACTTAATGATGGCACGATATATTTATATTTTCCAATCCAATTGTCCATGGAATCTGCACTTCATATACTTGCCACCTTTCTTCAACTTCACCTTTTGCCATTTTGTGTTTTTTTCTTATTCAGTTGAATCACTGCTCGTTCCCATCATTCTGCAAAGCCACCTTTGCCCACTCATATGTCGATAGATATAATCCCGTGCCAAACGCAGCCCACGCGGAACGCAATATCGCGCCCCTGAAAAGCCCCCTGATACCATTTTCACAATATACCTGTCTCATGGTCCCAATCATGCCCTTCTTGTTGCTCACAGTATCATCATTCAGCATGGTCCGTGTCTTGACGACGTCAATCGGCGTAACCATGAACGCAGCAATACTCCCCGACAAAGCAGCACTGGTAGCAGATATCCCGGTACGCTGTACCAACGGGAGTTCCTCAACTGCGCGATACTGGTCTGCCGTCGTAGACTTCCCTTGTCTTGATAACCACCAATTCGACAGAGACCCCTTGAATATCTCAAATAACGGGAAATTGATGCCCGTAGTGGGAATATTTCTCGATAGCATCGCTATATAACCCCGTGAAAGATTACCAGGCTGTTTCTGCAACGAACGGAAAGCTTCAATGGTAGAACTTTTGGATGAATTCGGTAGCATTTGGGCATTTTGCTTCAAGACCTCGGCGGGAGTAAGTATTGCGCATGAAACGGCCTCAGCTAGAGATGACGACGCAGCGTGAAGAACGGGCGTTGGTAGTGTAGATAAAACACCGCCCGCTGCATGGTGTGCTTTGAGTGTCGAGTTCAGGCTGTTGTATGTGAGGAAGAATGCACCAGCTGTGCAACAATTATATCAAGTTTTATTAGCCAATGCATGAATCTCCTTGCTATCAGTCAGTTCCATCATAGTTGCCAGAAGATGAAGCTTACATGAAGGAATCATTGACACAGCAGCTGCCCCAACACCCTGATATAACCCTCTTAACAGAGCTGCACGATTTACAGCACCCGTAGCATGATGTTTGAACCGTTTAGCGTAATCGGGAGCCTGGAGTCGTGTTCGTAGGGTATCAAGAGGATAGACGACGACATCGATTGTCAGAGCCGCTAATGCCCCTGCCTGTGCACAGAACGTTAATTAACCATTCACTCTAAGCTGGATTGCGATGCGATATATCAGAGCATACAAGACAGGTATTTAAATACTCATCCTTCGGCATTGTTGATGTATTGGTCTTCCAATCAGCAGTGACACTGTTACTATAATTCAACCATAGCTACGTAGCTCCTTGAGAGGTCTTATCTACTTATATACAAGTCGGCAAACAGCACCAGGAACATCGCATGCATGGCTCTTTCGGCTAATCTCTGGATTGATCTGAGTGTTTTTGAATGAATGAGGATTCTCGAGTTCCATGGATTCAATTGGAAGCACCAATGATGTAAGTTCTGATCCTATCGGCAGGCGTGAAGCAGACGAGCCATAGCGTGGTCTGGCGGAAGACGCCGCGAGTGTATGTCAACGATGATGGTATATGTACTGGTCCAGGGGTGAAAAGGAGATGCATGAGTATCCCATTTTCATAGCGATTAAAGCAATAATCAATGATCTATCTTTGCCTCTGTTGAGTTTAAATTATCAAAATGATGAGACCAGAGCAAACCTCAGTCTATGAAGTCAAATCCGACACAGAGATAAGTCTTCATCAACAATATAGAAGAAGGAAAAAAAGAGAAAAGAGAGAGCGATCGATTAGCCACTCATGATATAGACAGCCGAAAAGAAAGAAAAATCCGAATAGAAAGGAAGTAAAAAAAAAAAAAACGAGGGACATGAAAATCCAATCGACCGCAGACGCCGTTAAAAGCGAAGGAAACAGCAAAATAAAAAATAAAAAAACAGATGAAATAACCACAAAAATTAACACATAAAAGACGGCTTTTCACATGATCGAAAACCAGAACATGTCTTCCGTAATGCTATGTCTCTTTTTCCCTTTCGCCATCCCTAAATCTCCTCTCCCATGTATTCTCCTACATCTGCGACTCATTCGGCAAAAGATTACTCTTGACAGCAAACATCTTCCCGGTAGTCGAGCTGACGAACCCATCGATCTGCTTAGAGTACTGCTCCACCTGCCTAGTGTTCAACATCGTCTCCAACCGACTGGGCTCAGCAGGCAGCTTGAACAACCGCTTCCACTCGTCCTCGGGCAACAACGGCTGCTTCAATTGGGCACGTGTGGCGTTTTCCGCTTTACGCTTGGCTTGCCAGGCGCTGATCTTGGTCTGTTCGCGGGCAAGGGCGCGCTGGTAGTACTGGAAGTTGTTGTTCTCGGTGTGGTGGATCTCGAGGCTGTCGAGGAGGAGGTCGCAGTTTTTCTCTAGGAATGGGTCGATGTTAAGGGTAAGGTTGTCGAAGTTGGGTGCAAGGAGAGAAGATTGAGAAAGTGGGTCGGCGGCGATGGCCTGGAGAGAAAGAGGGAGGTCGACTTCTTCAGAAGGCAAGGGGGAGGGAAGCTGGTGGAGGTAGGCGGTTAGGAGGTGGGAGTTGTGGATCTGCACGGGAATTTCGACGAAGATGTCTTGGTATCTGAGGTTGGACTTTTGTAGCCTGGATAAGTGTTAGTAAGAAGAAATTTGATATCAGAGCGGAAGTTTAGACATACTGCTCAGCGGTGAACTTCTTCTCCTTGAACGCAGTCATGAACTGCGGTGAAAGTCTGAAAGCCCTCAAACTAAGCGCACCCTGCGAACTCCTGCTGACATCATGCACCAAGGCAACAGCTCTCTCGTTCGCCTCCTTCTGGTAATGGAACAAGTTCTCGATCATGTTCATGTTGATATAATTGCCCATATTGGCACTAGTGTAGAAGCCGACATTGTTCGCATCGACATTCACCTCGCGCAGCATCTTGATCATCTCACGCTCGTAGACAATATTCGCCTTGGCGCGGGGAGCAGCAGCAGCGACATTCTGGGTCGCATTGTCGAAATGGGAAGAATCGGCGGGAACGTCGACAACTGGGAAGGGGAAGGCGTTGGTGATTTCAAGAACGCCTTGCTGATCCATTCCAACGATAGAGCCGGTGGCGGTTGTGGGGAAGGACTGGGTGCTATGCTTGATAATTTTCATGACGACCTGCGGGTGGAGGATATTGTCAGGAACAAGTGCTCAGATCTCGAGTCATGTTGATTTCTGGCTTACCAGCGCCTCAAGCTGCACGGTCCTAATGGGAGTCTCGGTATTGCTATTCATAAAGAGTCAATAATCACTGTCGAAGAGAATATAGCAGTGGCAGAAGTAAAGAGCGCAGGATTCGCAAGGGATTAGCGCTGCGAGGGGTGATTTGGCAACATACTCGGCCATTTTTGCGACTGTTTGGTTCTGGAGATAGCACAACTGCTTGCGAAGGAAACTGTGAGACTCTGAAAAGCGTTGTCTAGGGTAAGTCGCCGGCTGCTTGACGAGATCGTTGTCGCTGTGGCTGTCGTCGTCGTCGTCGTCGATGTTGATGTCGTCGTTGATCTCTGGCAAATTTGTGCGAGTTCGTTGGAAAACGGAGACACTTTGTTCCGATAGAGCTGTTTCGGGTTTAGCGTGGATAGTACAGATATAAAGGGGGGAAGAAATGAACTTAATGTAATACAAGGGGACAAGGGGGGGAAAAAGGGTCAAGAGGCGACATATAAGGAGAAACGGAGGCAGATGAAGAGCTTGGGTGTAAGCTTGAAGAAGGAGACGGTCAGTAGGAGGAAGCTAAGAGCATTTTGTGACTGACAAAGCAAAGAAGTTATTGGTCGGGACTTGACTACGCTTCATTGGTGTTATATGGTACAGACGATATAGATGAGCCCCTGAATGCAACACGCTGAGCAGGACTATCCTTGTACATGGTCAGCAGAACATCGCTGATGCTCTGAATAATGAAGCAAAACCGCTGCCATTACTCGACACATTAGTGATAGAAAGAGATGATCATGTCGTGACACTGCATCACCCGTTTTCTAGGGGAAAAAAAAAAGATATACGAAAAAATCTCCGAGACGGGGAGTCGAACCCCGGTCTCCCGCGCTCGTTGTGTAATTAAACAGTGACAAGCGGAAATCATGACCGTTAGACCATCTCGGATGATGATTGATATCAGTAATGAAAAGAGGTATATGAGATATGTTTGCCGCTTACTACATTACAATCAAAAATAATCTTCTGGATCTACACTTCCAAGGAAGAGCTATTATCTTGATATCTCAAAATCTTAGCCATAGATTATTCTGTTACAGGATCTTCTTAACCTACTAAAAAGATATGCACCCACTAGTCTATTTCTTCTTTAAAGTCATTAAATCTGGGACTTTATGTGACGCCTGTCTCCGAAGATCTATGGTCAATCACCACAAACAGTGAATCTGGGGAGAAGCAGAACAAGGGAGATCCAGATCAAGATGGGTGATCTAGTCCCAAAGAGGTAAGACCCCGGAGTAGAGGTGGATCCGACGAAGGAGGACGGGGTGACGTATCTCCGTAGTCGGATCGGAACAACAAAGGACCGATAAGCATCGGAACAACAAGGGACCGAGGAGGATCAGGAGGGTGGCGCTACACTACTCCCCCCTCAAAAAGAGAAGCGCAGTCGAGGAATCGTCGAAGAATGAGAACTGCGCGTGAATGCGGAATGTAAAAATCTTGGTATTGCTAAGAGTATGAGAATTAATGATACACGTTGAAATCTTACGTAAAGTGTGAGGGTGGTGGTGGTTTATTTGGGTGTTCCCGGTGATATTGAATTATCTTATCGGGACAATTGACGAAGTCAGTCCAGGGTTGCCACGGCGGTTGTGAATTCCAATCTGGCCAGTTTCCTTTGAATGTGGCTTTGTATTGAGTTCCGAGTCGGGGAGTGACTTTGCAATCGACGATGTCTTGTACTTCCCATTCGGGGTGGACTCCGGCGTAATCCTCTATCATGATCGGTGGTTGTGGCGGCTGACGTTGTCCTGGTAATCCTGTGTTCGCTAACGATAGTCTTGAGGGGTGGAACACCGGTGTGACACCCGCGTCCATGAGATCCGCAGGAAGCTGTACTTCGTAAGCTTTATCGTCGATGATGCAGGTGATGGGGAAGGGGCCTATGCATCTCAAGTTCAGTTTGCGGCTTGTTCTGTCACTTTTAAAATGCGAAGCTTCCACGAAAACTTCGTCACCTACTCGGTATAGCGGGTGAGGGCGTCTATGTGCGTTTGCGTTCTGTCTCTGTTTTTCTTTAGCCCATAACGTGTTTGCTTTGATCCAGTTTATGATTTGGCGATGCCGTTCTGGGGATATATCGCGGTGGTTCTCCGGGAAGTGAGGGATTAAGCCCTCTTGAGGAGTTTGTGGATGGAAGCCGTGGACTGCAAAGAAAGGCGAACAACCTGTCGTTTCCGATGGTGTTACTCGTGAGGCGAATTCGGCATCGAAGATGTAGTCTGCCCAATCATCTTGAGCGTAATTAACATAAGCCTTAAGGTAATCTTTGATGGATTTGTTAATTATTTCCGTTTGACCATCTGTCTCTGGATGGTGTGCTGTTGAAAGTTTCTATGCTATTTTGTAAGTGGATGAATATGTGTGTATGATTTCATTAACCCACGAAGTTTCTCTGTCGGATATGACTGTCGATGGGAAACCCACTTTACACCATATTCTATCGTGTAGGATTTTCGTAATTTCGTCGGTTGACTTAGAGGTGAGTGGTTCGATAATTCGGTCTTTTGTCAATCTGTCGACGACTAACAGGATATGTTTGAATGTGTTATTGCCTCTCTTACAGGGTGGTAATGACTCTATAAGATCTAGCGTGATGCTCGTCCAGAGTGTTTCTGGGATCGGTAGTGGTTTAAGTAACCCCTCTGGAGCGTGACTGCAAGCTTTCGTTCTGGCGCAAGTAAAACAGACTTTCACATACTTAATGCAGTCCTGGCGTAGTGAACCCCAATAGAAAACGCGAGAGACGAGAGCGAACAACGCTTTCTGTCCTGGGTGGCCAAAATAACGAGATAGGTGGTAATAATCTAGGATATCGAGTCTAATGTCGTCTGCTTGTGGGACGACCAGTCTACCTTGCATGTATAAGAGACCATCGTTTTCAGATAGATCGGAAGCGTCGGCTTTAAGGATCTTATAAGCGTGTGTTGGTATCCGTCTGGCTCCTCTTTTCACGGCTGATCTTGTTTCTAGTAAGATAGGGTCATTTTCGTAGGCTGCTAACAATCGTGGTTCATCTGGTAGTTGGTAAGCTGTTTCGGTAGACTGGTTATCTTCGTCTGAAGAGTCGTCGGATGGGATTTCATTGTGGTGGTCGTGAGGTGTGTGTGTGTTGCTGATGGGTGTAAGATTGAGCTCCGATATATATATAAGGTTTGTATCCGGAATCCGTGAATATGACTTGGCCTGTAAGGCATTGAACGCTGCTGTTGTATCGTTTGGTAGTGCACTGTGAGGCAATATTGGTATGACTCTATCCGATGGTGGAGTGGATGTATCTTGTGAACGGCGGGTGAGTGCGTCTGCCTTCGAGTTGGACTTGCCTGAGCGGTACTGAATCACGAAGTTGAACTGGGCTAGGAATTGCGCCCATCTTGCATGCCGTGCTGTCAACTTTTTGGTCTTCATGAAGTGCTGTAGTGTTTTGTGGTCTGTGTAAACATTGACCGGTGTCGTAAGCCTGGTTAATTCTGGTCGCCACGATTCAAAGCATCTTATAATGGCCAGTAACTCCTTCTCATAAATGCAGTAGTTGTATTCAGCTGAAGACATCTTCTTCGAGAAGTATGCAACGGGTTTGAGGACGCCATTGTCGTCATATTGGGACAAGACTCCTGCTGTCACGAAGTCGGAAGAATAGGTTTCAATAATTGTTTGTTTTGCTGGGTCGAAGTATGCTAGCGTTGGAGGGCTACTCAACAACTTCTTGAGTCCTTCAAAGGCGATCGTGTGTTGTTCTGTCCATTGCCATGGCGGGTAACGCATAATTCGTTTTCCTGTCTTAGTTGAGCGAACTACTTTGCCCTCTGTCAGCTTATAAAGGGGCTTAGCAAGTATTGCAAAGTTTGGTGCGAAACGGCGATAGTGGTTAACGAAACCCAAGAAGGCTTGAACGTCAAGAACAGAATTGGGTTGAGACCATTCTTGAATAGCCTTGACCTTGTCGGGGTCCATCGATACACCCTCTTTGCTTATAATGACTCCGAGGTATTTCACTTGATGGACGAAGAATTCACTCTTATCGATGTCAAGATTAAGTTGGGCGTTTCGGAGTCTCGTTAAGACTTCTTTAACATGTGTTACATGTTCGTCCCAAGATGAACTGAAGACAAGTATGTCGTCAAGGTATGCTGTCACAAATTTGTCGAGGATATCGAAGAAGATTGAGTTGATGAAGCTCTGGAATGTAGCTGGAGCATTGCAAGCTCCAAAGGGCATTACAAGCCATTCAAACTGGCCCAGTCGGCAGATAAATGAGGTTAAGTATTCGTATCCTTCTGCCATTCTTATGCGGTTAAAAGCGTGTATCACGTCGAATTTCGTGAACCAAAGAGCCAGTATGAGAAGGTTAAGGATGTCTTGTAACAGGGGAATTGGGAAACGACTCTTAATTGTGATGTCGTTAATCGCCCTTAGGTCTGTGCATACTCTAATGCCTCCTCCGGGTTTACTCACGCATAACAATGGTGAACAAACTGATGAGTTACTTGGACGGATATAGCCTTTGGCGTTCAGCTCCCGTACCTGTTTGGCTATAGCATCATTCTCTGGTTTGGAGTGTGGTCGATAGTTGCGTTGTAAGGGCAATTTGGCTCCTGGTGTTATGTGGATTTCGTGGTCTATTCCCGGACGGTGGGGAGGCAGGGAATCTGCCTGTTCTCTAGAGAAGACGTCTGCGAATTCCATTAACTCTGGTGGAAGTCTTCGGAGTATATCTTGATGGGAGTACTGAGGGGGCCCGTTGAGATGAGTGTTTAAGTCTTCATTCGTGAAGGATGCATTTACGGCCAGTGTACATATCACCGCTTGGGTGCCTTCGCACATGACCATGTATGCTGAATTGTTTGGTTGAGCTGCTGCTCTGAGAAATGCTGGAGCCGAAACGTATTGAATATCAGTGTCGTTAACCGCTTGATCCGGAGGACATGTGCGACCTTTGCACGACATAGGTTGTTCAGGAAGTGGTAGAGGAGTGTGAGGTAAAGACGATGAGTTATGATCGTAGTCCTCAGCGTATATTACGCATTTGGACGGCGTCTGTAAACAGCCCTTTTCGCGGCATTGTAACGACGTGAATGAGATGGTACGGTTTAGGAAGCTAATGGCAGGGTCATGGGAGCGAAGCCATGGATCACCTAGGATAAGGTCGTATGTAGGGACTGGGGCGATATAGGCAATGAGATGTTCCTTATGAATACCGTTTGTTAATAAGCCTAAGTCATATGGGAATACAGTAGCTTGTGTAATGACACTGTGAAGCTTCTTAGAAGCATTCACTAAGGGAATATTGCGTGTTAAGGTATATAATGGTAAGTGTAACTCCGTCACCACCTGCCCCGCTATCAATGTTGCCTCAGAACCGTTATCCACTAAGCTGCGAGTTCGCCGACCTTGAATGTGGCCATTAATGACCAGATGTCTGCCGCGTTGTTGTGAAATCGCTTTAGTAAGGGAGCTTGACGTGGATAATGAGGAGAGGGAGATTTGGAGCAGGTTGGGAGGGGGTGTACACACTTCATTACAAATCTCACCATCAGAATTGATAGTGGTCGTGACACCTTGTGAAGTAGGGGCCTGAGCTGTTATAGAGGCCACTTGTTGTTGAGCTCGTGGGTTCTGTCGCGCAGCGGAAGTGCCGTCCTCGTGAGGACAGCAGGTGTCTCCCACGCGGTGACCTGAGCCTCGGCAGCGCCAACAACGTCGCTGTGCATAGAGGAGTTTCTGATCACTCTCCGAGAGTTTGCGGGGGTTGACCTCTGGATCCCACCAAGGGCCCCTCCAACCATCTGGTTTCTGGGCGCATCGGGGGAATCGCTCGTTGTATTTAATATCGGCTTCCGTTGGCATTTCAAACTTGAGATTGGCACGGTTAGGAGTGTCCTTGGAAGCCGAGGATGACGCAGTAGAAGCGCTAGGGAGAAGAGGCAATGCGGATTTGGGGGGAGGGTTCCGGGGTGTCACAGGGGAGTTGGAAAACTGAGAGTCGAATGGTTTAAAGCGAGGGCCAAAGGACTTACGGGACGAGAGTGCGGTGGGGTTAACTGTAGTCCGGGAAAGCTCAAGGTTGCGTCGGAGTTGAGCATTTTCGACGCGTCTCGCCGCGTCCAAGGCACGGTACAAGTCTTCACCAAAGTCCACTGAGTCAAGGGCAATGCTAATGTCGCGTCGAAGTGAGGCTACAAACTTTAAGACTCTATCGCGTTGAGGGACATCCCCAAGGTTCCAGTGGAACCGTAAGTTGTTGAAATAAGTGGTGACGTCATCCGTGCCTTGAAATAGTGTCTCCAAGGCGCAGCGGGCGGAGGCACGTTGGTTATCGAATCCAATAGATGTCTTGACTTCCGTAATGAAACCAGGATATGTCAAAGTGGTTGAGGGATCACAAAACCAACCTTCAATGGCAGTTAACAGCTTTCCCGACATGAAGCGCATTGCATATTCGATCTTTTCTCTATCTGTGAGGAACAGGGCAAAGTCCTTGTGGAATTTGGATTGAAGTTGCAACTCCCAGGGTCGAAACGACGCAACAGCGGTCGTGACGTCCTGCTGTGAGTCAAGGGATAAGGTGATTCTGGGTTTTTCCCCGGTTGGTTTGACAGATCGGAGTTCGATGAGTCTATCAAGAGATAAACCGTACGCTGGGTGAGTAGGATCAATGATTGCTTGGCGAGCTGCCCTTGCTACATCAGCGGGCACGCCTGGGATAAATGCGGGAACTGCAGGAGAGGTGACCCGGTTCGTAGCAGAGGGAGCCGTAGGTACAGCGAGGGCTGCTCTGACTGCAGCTGCAATGATGGTGTCGAGGTCCACCGTGGACTGGACTGAAGCCGGCTGTTGAGTCGGTGGTGGTTGGTGTGACGTAACAAGCGCTAAACGAGCGGTTGTTAGTCGCGGTAGGCGCCGGTAGCTGATATATCGCTACCTACGCTGCAATGGACTGTCTTCGCTTGACAAGACAGTACCAGTGACTACCGGTGGCAGGGAGCACGTGAGA